TCCCCATATAATAATAATAATAATAATAATAACATTAATAAATTCCGTTTTGTTTAAATTGCATTTTCTCTTGACACCAGAGTGCTTATGTGCAGAACACATACTGGCTAGCTTTATTGACTGTGGGGTTTTACGTATGTATGTATGTTGTACATAACAGAAAATCTTACATATTGTAGCTTTCAGAAAAAGTACTGGAAGACTCACATTTGTCTGCAGAATTTATTAACACTGGCCTCACCCACCAACAAAAGCAAGGCAAACAAAGCCAACAAATACGCTTACAGTATGCCTTGTCAGTGTGTGTGTGTGTGTGTGTGTGTGTGTGTGTACCTGGTATTCCCTATCTTACGGGGTCCAAATGTCCCCACAAGGATAATAATACCAGTATTTTTATTTTTTTTTTGGTCCCCATGAGGAAAAAAGCATATAAATCATACAGAATGATCTTTTTTTGAAAATGTAAAAATGCACAAAGTTTTGTGTGAGGGGTAGGTTTAGGGGTAGGGTTCACGTAAGGAAAATACAATTTGTACAGTATATATAAAAAAAAACATTACGCCTGTGGAATGACCCCATACGTGTGTGTGTGTGTGTGTGTGTCCCCATGAGGAAAAAAGCATATAAATCATACAGAATGATCTTTTTTTGAAAATGTAAAAATGCACAAAGTTTTGTGTGAGGGGTAGGTTTAGGGGTAGGGTTCACGTAAGGAAAATACAATTTGTACAGTATATATAAAAAAAAACATTACGCCTGTGGAATGACCCCATACGTGTGTGTGTGTGTGTGTGTGTGTGTGTGTGTTTGGGCAAGATGAGAAAGGAGGGAGACTTCATGTCACAGTCTTCAGCGGGTGTGCCCAGGATGACCAAGTTCCTAGCCTGCCTGTCTGTTTTTCCCCCTCGTGGTTGTTTTAGTTTGTTTTTGTTTCATTTTATTATTAAAAGAAAGAACCATTCATCCTGCACTTGAGTCCTCGCTTCATCTCTCCGCACGCACCGTGACACTTCATAGAGTTTAGTGTTCAGTTGTGTTGGGATTTAGTTGAGGTTTAGATCCATTTCAGTTACGTTGGGATACCACTGTAGTGAAGAGAGGAGCTTTTTTTAGACTGAGGCCAGATGTAAACATTAATGGATTAAATCCTGTCAGGGAACCATATACAATCACTTTGAGATTTCTTAATGTGGTCACTTCAAAATAACTTAATTTGATGATGTGCAAGTTACGTGAACAAATTATGTTTGTATTAATTGATTCACTGATGTACAGTACATGATTAATGATTAAACCATGTAAATCCAATACACTTTGGCAGGGATGCCAAACTCGAGGCATTTACGCAAAAAAAACTGAAAGCTTGTTGTGCAATTTAGCTGTTCATTTACACAACAACTTCATTTTGGGGACCTGAAAATGCAAACTTTTGAAAATGGGTTTCAAAGTGCAAG